TTGGCTGGGATGCTGCTGCAGGGCTTGTGGGGGGGAGCTGGGAAAACTTTTGCTGGGCACTGTGGAAAATGGCGAGCAATGGCCTTGGCATCCCTTGCTTTTGTTTCTGTGTTTTCTTTCCATCTTTTTCCATTTACTCATTTATTAATGAGGGAAGGGGAGAGAAGGGGGGGGGGGGGGGGAAGGAAGGTGATAGGAAGGAAGGGAAGGGATAGGGTAATCTACAGGGAAGGGAAAGGAAGGGTGCTTGGGATGTGCCATCACTCACTTGTTGTAGAGCACGATGTCAGGGATCCAAATCATCTCAGAGGGCACTCGGATGGAGGTGACATTGTCAAATTCTGCCGGGTCCCAGCGCAGTTTGTAGTCACTCCACTCCTGCAGGGAAACACAGGGGATGGCGTCAGGCTGCCATGGGTCTGGTGGGACCAAGCGGACCCAAATTCTGTGCCCCCCTTGACATGCTCCTACCCTTGCCCCAGAGAGGGAACAGGCTCCTACCTGCTTCAGCCAGACATTTGTGGTCATCATTTGGTTCTTCTCATCCTGCAGTAGGAAAGAGGGATGAGAGGAGACAGGCAGAGACAGACCAAGGGTTTGTCTTATCAGTGCTTCAGCCCCCAGATTACAGCCTTCACTTTGTGCCCCCTGCCTCTGGGGTTCAGCTCCTGGGGGCAGCTGGTACCAGCACAAGCCCAAGGAGACGCCGTGCTTCACCGGGATATCTGCTCACTAGATGGCAGCAAGAAATTGCGTTTTGCATCGTACAGCTCTGAGCTGCTCTGATGGGGGAACGAATGTGCGTGGGGAGGTGGATAGACAGGTTTGTAGGTGGATAGATGGACGGGTTGATGGGTGACTAGATGGGCAGGTAGATAAGTGCATGGGTGCATAGATGAGTGTGCATCAGACGAATGAGGGAGGGAGGGAGGGATGGATGGGGGGAGGGATGGATAGGGGAACGGATGGATGCACGGGCAGGTGGACAAACAAGGCCAGAGGTGCCCCACGACAGGTAGATGGTGGACAAGGATGTGGCAGGGATGGAGACCTGCAGTTTTCCTTGATGGCCTCCTGCCGGCAGGGGAGGGGTTTGGGATGGAGGGTGGGAAGTCAAACACCCCACGGGACTGGGATCCCACTGGTGGGCTACGCACCACGTCGATGAGCTGCGCGATGGAGAGCCCGAACTTGACAATGACCACATCAGAGGTGTTGGGCACCGGCCGCGACCAGCGGTTGTAGCCGGTGAAGAGGTGCTTGAAGAGACGCTCCTCGGCATGGCTGCGGGGCTGCTCCTGCAGGCAGGCAGCTGCGGGGAGACGGGATGGGGATGGGGTTGGGGATGGAGGAGACCTCGCTGAGCCCCCCTTCCGCCCCCCTGCACCCCACTGTCATGGGGTGCTCACTTTGCACAAGTCCCCTCTCTGCTGCAGCATCAGGGATGCTAAACCTCACCCTGAGATGGGGAGAGGGGGATTAGCCCCCTTGAAGCTGCCCTGTGCTCCTGCTGGAGAATGGTAGAAGATCAGCCTTGCCACGCTGGACAAGGGATCCCGCTGGAGTGGCTGAGATCCCTCTCCCAGCCCCTTCCAGCTGCTCCTACTGGTTCTAAATGGTTCAGCTTTGCAAGGCGCAGGCTGAGCCAGCCCTTGGGACCGCTGCAGGCTGTGCAGAGACCATCCCTCAGGCTGGGCTGGAGGCAGGGCTGAGAAGGAACGCAACGCTCTGTGATTAGGAATCGTTGGCGTTGGTGTTGTGCTGTCAGCTCGCGCTGCATCACTCGGCTGTCCTTGCTCGCTGCAGAGCCCCATAAATTTCCACCAGCAAGTGGAGGGAGGCCGAGGGAGGGAGGGGTAAAGGGAGGGAAGGCTCTGCACAGCGGAGTGCAACCAAAGAGACCTTGTATGGGTGGCTTTGCCCTGAAGAAGGATGGGTTTATGGCCCCATAGAATTCCTGTGCCCCATGCAAGTGCTTCCCACGGGGCACGCAAGCCCAGCAAGGACCCTGGTTATACTCTGGCCAGGAATGGAGGGTCTTAGAGGTGTCGGAGAAGACTGTTCCCAAGTGAAGGGACAAGCATGATGCCCACCTTATGGAAGGTCTTGCATTAATGGCAGCAGGAAGCAAAATCCATCTTTTTTCCATCCTGCCCACATTTGTAGCTTGCACAGGATGGATCTGGGCTCCCAGAGCAGACCACCCCCACCCAAGTGTCTGGTGATGTCAAGCTGCTCTGCAAAGACGCAAACCCTGTCCTAGACAGTGGTGGAGGACACCACACCAGTGTGGATACTGGGGATGATGAGACTGCATGGGGTAAACTGGGAAAGAACTGGTTTTCCATGCGCATGCACTACAGCCCACTCCCTCTCCCCAGATTTATCCCCCACAGCCCCCATAAGTGACACCCATAGGAAGTTGAGGCTCAAGGAAGGCAATTCAGGTCCCCAGAGCAGCCCTTACCTGCCTGGAAGGTGAGGAAGCACCACACCATGAGGGGAGTAATGCGATGGGGCAGTCTCCCCATGCTCCCTCTGACGGTGTCCCCCATGGGCCCAGCAAAGCCCCCAGGAGGGACCAGGGGAAGCAAAGAGCTGAGATGCTGGTGGGCGAGGAGACTCAGCAGAGAAAACCACCACAGGGGACCTCTAACAGGGTGCTCTGTGTGTTCCCACCATCAGCCAGTGCTGGAGGAGCCATGGACAGGGCTGGATGCAGACCAGGGTAGGTGTGCAGCTCAGGATGCTCTGCAGTCACCTGCCCCTCGTTTCATTCCTGGAAGGACAGCAGAGAGCAGCACTGTCACTGCGATGCCACTGTGGTGCAGGTCTGGGAGGTGACAGTCCTGTGGTCACCTCCAAGCCATTGCCAGCTGCCAGCAGGGCTTGGAGCTGATCCAAGCTGCGACCATGGCAGAGCCAAGGGAAAGTGTCCCCAGAGCATCTGCTCCCCATTTCACGAGGGCTCCTCATGCAGGCAGGGCATCAAGCTGGGCTGCATTGTATACAGCCAGGCAGCTGGACCCCATGACTTAAAGCAATGGGGAGCCTAGGTGTGCCCCCAAATGGTTTAATAGCAAGGATGGAGCCCAGGGCTTTGACTTTCACTGGGGTGACCAGAAAACACTGGTTTCAACCATCCTTCTGCCCTATCTGTCTCATGTCCTTGGAGCACGGGAGGGGGAAGCTGCTCCAAGAGGCTGTGCTGCCCCAGATGGGCTCATGGGGCTGGTTTCTCCAGTAGCACTCCCCTCTGAGAAAGGGAATCATTCTCTCGTCATCCATCCATCCATCCATGCATCCATGCAACAACCATCCATCCATGCATCTGTTAATCCATTCAACTGTGCATGCATTCATCCATTCCTCCATCCATCCATCCATCCATCCATCCATCCATCCATCCATCCATCCATCCATCCATCCATCCATCCATCCCATCCATCTATCCACCCACTGACCCACCCATGCATCCATCTACCTAAGTGTCCATCCATACACCTACCCACCCATCCATCCAACAACCATCCATCCATCCATCCATCCATCCATCCATCCATCCAGCCATCCATCCATCCATCCATCCAACAACCATCCATCCATCCATCCAACAACCATCCATCCATCCATCCATCCATCCATCCATCCCTCCATCTATATCCATATCCACCCATTCACCCATGGATGTGCTTGGTTCCCCTCCCCAACACAGCAAATCTCTCAAGGGGAGGAATCACTTGCTCTGCAGTGGCTGTGAAATCTGCTCCATCTTACAAGGTGACTCCACCAGGAGCAGCCTCCCCTATTCAGGAGGCAACTGCTTCCATCCCTGAAGAGGAAGAGTTTCCCAGCCCAGCACTGATGTTGCTGGACAAGAAGCTCATTTGGCTTAAATTCCCTCTCTGGCCTGGTAAAACCATGAAGCTCTCCTGAACTCATCATCATCTTCTGCGCAGTTATCAACTGATTAATGCAAGGATGGTGGAGGGGCTGGGAAATGAGAGGATAAACACCAGCCACAGCACTGAACTGGAGGGAAAATTATGGATGTCCTCTTCAGGATAAGATATTTACTGTACTGGAGAGTACAGGGAGTGCTGGGGGAGATTTTTCTACTCAAGGCTTTGTTATAGGGTCACCCAACTGGGGATTTCGTGGGCTCCCCAAAGCTCTGATGGATATTGGAGAGGGAAAGAAGGTGACTTGGGTGATACAAAGCTGCGCCTGAAACCTCTTGTATGTGGCAAATGGGGTTGTGGGGGATATGAGGGAAGAGAAGCCCATGCAGGCTGAGCACCCATGGGTCACAGTGGGGATGGGGATGGGTAGGATGCCAAAGGCTGGACCAGAGGGTGACAGTGACCATGCGAAGCTCTGGGCATCCCAAAATGCAGCCAGGAGGCAGAGAGAATAAATAACTTATTTACTGGATTTTAAATACAGGCAGCGGGGGATTTGAGGTTTTTAGATGGGAACTTCACGCAGAGCTGGGAAACTTCCCCTGCTGCTGCCTCCCCATTGCTCCCTGACCGTCCTCAGCACTTTGCAAACAGCTTTAATTAAGGATATTCACAGGAAGAAACCAGCTTCTCTCCTTCCCACCCAGCCTGGACCCAGTGAACCCCCTTACCTGCTGCAGGGAGGGCAAGGAGGGGTCCCCCATTCCCGCTGCTCTGCTGGAGTTGGGATGCTGTGCCGTGGAGCGCTCCGGTGAGGACTGGGCTCCAGCGAAGGATGTCTCAGCTCTTACTCGAAGCAGTGGCAGTGACGACAGGGGCTGGGGGAGGAGGGAGAGCCATGCCCAGGCAGGGAAGGAGGGGAAGCTGGGGGACCAGGGGGAGGAAGGCTGATGGGGCAGCAGCGTTGGCAAAGCTTCCCCGGGGTTGGGAAAAGCTGGATTTGCAGGGTTTTGTCAGCCTTTTCCAAGGCAGCTCTTGGTCAGGGGGAAAGGACTTTGTGTGTGAGGATGGAGAGGGAGAGGGAAGAAGAACAGGAGCAGAAGTGCTGTGGAGCAGCGGAGCTGGAGCACAGAATGGGGGTTTGTAGGGCACATTGCACGGGTATTGCAAGGATACTGCATGAAGCATCACGCAGGGCATTGCATGGGGTATTGCAGAGAGCCTCGCTGCCTGAGTGAGGCATCGTAAGGGGCATCACAGGGCCATTGCAAAGGTCCAGGCTCTTGTATGGCTGTGGGGAAGAAGGGGCTGCTCCCCAGTCCCCGCCAGACCAAGGTTTCTGCTCTTACTCCACAGCCGTGAGATGTGAGTTTGGTGCCAGCCAAACCTGCCCACGGTCAGGACAGCTGCAGGCAGCGGCAGTATCCCCTGCTCTGGTGAAAACAGGGTGCAAGGACTTGAGGCTGGGGTGCCCCCATGCAGTTCCTGTCTCAGCCTGTGCTTGGCCCCACATAACACTGTCAATAAAGCAGTTGCAAAACTGGGGTAGCAAAGGCAGGGCAATATCCAGGATCTGGGAATGGGGCAGGGATGGGGGTAGGGGTGCTTTGGGCAGGGGAACCGGTTCTCCCACTGCAAGAGGATTGGAAACCCAGAGCTCTCCACTGCTTCCTGACCTCTCAGGCAAAGACCCAGCCTTCTCCCCAGACCAGCCTCTCCTTCCTTCCTGCGAGGAAATTTAATGTGCAACCTTCCTGCAAATGAAGCCCAGGAATGTAATTTCCAGCCCTGGGGGACCTGCCAACAATTTCCTTCCTTTCCCCTGGGAGATAAACGGAGAGACAGACCTGGGCATGGAGGGCACCTGAATCTGCTGTTCCCCTGCTCTGCTGTAGGATCCCCATCCACAAGGCTGTCCTCACCATCCTTAGGATGCTGGATACCAGAAATCCATGGGGAAGAGGACCACAGAGCTGGTACCCTGCCATCCCACCACCCCAGCAGCAGCCAATGCCAAAGCCAGGTGGATTTTGGGTTGTCCCCTCTCCAGATCTGAGGCCACAAACAGTGTGATACGAAGCCCTGGCCCGTGCTGTGGTGCAGAGCCCTGAGCCCAGGCCCAAGGCTGACTGTGAGCCTGGAGGGTGTTCAGTGTTGGATGGACCCCCAAAGCTGGGGTGATGGGGAACAGGGGAAGATGGAGAGATGGATACCAGAGGGATGGGGAGCAGCTGGGAATTGCAAGGACTGCTCCAGGAAATCGATCCAGGCCCACCAAAGGAAGGGAATTAGGGAGAAGAATGAGTTGAGTACGACCATAGTAAATTAATCAGGAAAAAAAGACAATCCACATTGATTTTCCTGGGGAGGAAGAAACCAGTGCTGACTGTTGGGATGGTGGGCTGAAGGCTGGGGGGTGGGAAGCATTGTGGATGCTGCAGGACCCATCTCCTTCATGGGCTCCTGACTGGGACTGTTTTGGAGGCGGAGGAGCATCTAACACCCCAGACAAACTCACCCATCCTCCTTTTCCCTTGGATGGCAGAGGATGGAAAGAAAACAGACGCGGAGATCATGCTGACGCCTGGCAGAGTGCAATGCATCTTTATTTTGCTGCCTGCAGCTCCTGCAGAAGTGCCACTACCCTGGGGGGGGTCTGCTTCTTGCCCATCCTTAGGGTGCACCATGGGGACAGCGGGGTGCCCAGAGCCCAATGTACCAGGGTGGCCCTGGCCATTCCTGCTGGAGGAACCTCTGTGCTTACAAACACAGGATTCGGAGGAAGGATTTTCCGCCTCCAGCTGCTTTTCTGCTGCCCAAACCTCCGTGGGTTGGGAGCACTCGAGTTGCCAGCTTTGATTTATTGCCCGGCACTTCACCTCCAGCCACTCTCACACCCTGTCTGCAGCTCCACCGTTACCACCCCAGGGGCGAAAACGCTCTTCCAAGGCTGGACAAGATGCTCCCAAGGGTGGAGGATTAACCAGGGCTCTGCCCACACCAGTGATGCTGCTGGACCATCAGTGAGATGCCACCAAGCCCCCAGAGAGCTGGGGTTAGTTTGTAAGACCCTCTGGGGAGCCCCAGGAGGTTCAGGCAAGGATCCAGGCATGACGATGTAGCTGTTGGTAGGTGTGGCTGCCTGGCTGTGACAAAAGGGAGCCTATGTGGGTAAAGCTCTTCCAGGGAGGGACAAAGGGGTCCAGAGGACTGCTGGGGATGGGAAGGAGCTGCCACAGAGAGGATTTCCCCCAGGCACAGGGCTGAACATATGCTGTGGCACCAGGCTCTGCTGTGTGATGGCAGAGCTGCTGCAGGATAGTGTATCCAACATGGTGGATGCACCACAGTCCTGCATCTAGCTCTTGGGACCAAACATAAGAAGGATGTGGAGCAGTTGGAGTGAGCCCAGAGAAGTGCAACAAAGATGCTCTGAGGGCTGGAGCACCTCTGCTATGGAGACAGGCTGAGAGAGCTGGGCTTGTTCAGCCTGGAGAAGAGAAGGCTCCAGGGGGGACCTTAGAGCAGCTTCCAGTGCCTAAAAGTCTGACAAGAAAGCTGGAGAGGGGCTTTTGACAAGGGCCTGTGGGGACAGGACAAGGGGGAATGGCTTTAAACTGACAAAGGGGAGACTGAGATGAGATCTGAGGCAGAAGTTCTTACCTATGAGGGTGGTGAAGCTCTGGCACAAGCTGCCCAGAGAAGCTGTGGCTGCCCCATCCCTGGCAGTGTTCAAGGCCAGGTTGGACAGGACTTGGAGCAACCTGGTCTAGTGGAAGGTGTCCCTGCCCGTGGCAGGGGGCTGGAACTGGATGAGCTTTAAGGTGCCTTCCAACCCAAACCATTGGTTCCATGATTCTATGAACACCCGGGCCTTGGGTTACAGGCATCATCGCGCATGCAGTGGCATTTTATGTGCGGGCAGCAGCCTCCCATCCCATCCCATCCCATCCCATCCCATCCCATCCCATCCCATCCCATCCCAGCGCTGCTGGCTCCAGCACCCAGACCACTCTGCAAATATTCCGGGCAACGTCTCAGCCCCTGGTGCTGCGGAGAGGAGCCAGGACACCCCAGAAGCCATGGAGATGAGCTGGGTTGGGGTCCTACCAGCAAGCAATGCCATACGCAGGGTGACGGTGGAGCCCATCCCTGCTGCCCTAGGGCTCAGTGGCGGTGGCAGCCGAGCTCTGCAGGCGCTGGCTGAGCTCAGCATCGAGGCGCTGTGAGGCAGCATCGAGGGTCTGGGCCAGGCGCCCGGTGAGGCGCAGCATGTGTGACACCACATGGACAGCCTTCCGCAGCCTGGAGGGAGAAGAGTGCGCTCAGTGTCCCCCCCGTCCCCACCAGCCTCCCCGCAGCAGGGTGTGGAAGGGGATGCTGCAGCACTGGGGGTCCTGGAGGGGGTCCCCACCCTGGGAAAGGAGATTTCCCAACTCCTCCATCCTGGTCAATGCATTTCTCCATCATCATGCTGTGGCTCAGCTGTGCTGGGTCACTCATTTAGGGGTGACAACCCCCCAACTCCTGACATCCCACCCCTCACCCTGCCCTCAGGGGACCCCGTTGCCAGCCACACTGCGATGGGCTTAGGGCAGAGACACTCACATGGGTATTAACAGCAGTGGCCTGCCAAGCATCCAAACCCCACATGTAACGTAAAAGCCATCATGAAGTTTATGGGAGCCATGGGGACACCTAGACTCCCCCCCCACACACACGTGTCTGCAGCCTGGGGCTGGCTCCCACCCATGGAGTTTGGGGTATCAGCTCCATGGAGCATCCCCATTCCCTTCCCATGGCACTTACTTCTCCTTCTTCTCAGCTGTCCGTGGGTGATCAGCCTCGGCCACGTGAGCCTCCAGCTCCCTGCGGACATTATCCAAGCTCTCCTGAAATTCCAGGTTGGCCTCATGGATGGCGGGCAGCGCTTCGGTGATGATGTCCTGGTAGCGGGTCTGGTTCTCCTCCAGCATGGCCGCCATCTCCACATCCTTCAGGCTGGCCTTGGTGTCCTGCAAGAGGCTCTTGAGGTGATCCAGCTCATTGCGGGAGGCGAAGGCTGTGGGCCCGAGGGAGCTGCAGGGACTGGGGGTGTGGAAGGTGATGCCACAGCGCTGGGGGTCCTGGAGGGGGTCCCCATCCTGGGAGATGCGGTACCCCAACTCCTCCAGCCCAAAACTGGGGGTCACATCCTCTTCTGGTCCTCGCTGTGTGGTGGCAGGGACAAGGGTGCAGAGCCCCACCAGTAGGCACCAGCCAGGGCTCCCTGAGACCATGGTGTCCTGCAGGAGCAAAGAGAAAGAGGCGGATCAAGGCTACAGGTGGGACACCCTCTGAGGCCCTTTTAGGACCTTCTTGGAACCCCCCATTTTGCACCAGCAAACCCCCAAGCACCCATATTTTTCCATGCATGTGCATCTCTGGTTTCCGGGAGTTGGGATCTGGGGTGCTGTGCCCCACTCTCCCCACACCATAGGGGAACCCCCCCCCCCGGGGATGGGGAGGGGTAGGAATGACACAGACCCTTCCTGCACCCCTGTAGTACAGCACATGGATCATAAGGATGGGGAAACTGAGGCACAGATGAGTTAAGGTGAGGGCTGGAAGTGTTGAGGGGAGGCTGATCCTGCTCATCCCCCCCCCTAAAACCCCCATCCAGAGCCATGGCAAAGTAGGAGACTGGGGGGGGGGGGTAGTGTGCACAGACAATGCGGCTCTTTCAAACCCATCTTGGCACCAGGGCCAGGGGAGCGGGTGCCAGAGGCTGCAGGCGCAACGGGCGTGGAAGAGGGGGGTCCCCACCAGCACCCTTCATCCTCCCAGCCAGTCCTGAGCCTCTCTGCAGAGGGAAGAGGGCTCCCAGGGGCATCCCCAGCTCCCTGCCAGCATCCTGGGGTGCAGTGAGCTCCTCAGGTCTCAGGCCAGCACCTGGCAGGGGTGGGTTGGTTTCGATTTGGAGCGAAAGACGCCCCCAGAAAGAGGGGAGCCCTCCGGCAGGACCACAGCAGCACGGCGGCCCAGCCCTGCCACGAGTTGGCCGGGTCTCAGAGGCGTCGCCGTGCTGGCATTTCGTTGGCACGAAGGCTGAGGTTGTTCCTCCCGGCTCTTCCCACCGTAATAGCGACAGACCAGCAAAATTCTTCCTTTATCCCCTCGTTTCCCACCGTCCGAAACACGCTCCCACCTTTACGCCAGGGAGAAGCCGGAGCTGGGGGGGCTGCGGAGCTGCTGCCGTCCCCGGAGGGTTGTGCCGGAGGTGCCCCCGCCGTGGTGGGAGGAGGAAAACCCTTCGCCTGCCGCAGCTCTGAGCCATGCCAGAAACCAGGGAACGGGGCTTCATCCCCACGCACCCGGCGCTGGACCACACTGCGAGGATGCTGGGGGGTCCCCTCGGGGGTACTGGGGACAGTGGGACTTGGGGGATGAGGGCTGGGGGACACTGGGCCCCAGCAGCGGGATGCTGGGGATAAACATATGGCTTGCCTGGGCTTGACCCCCTAAAACATCCCTTCCCAGCACAGAACAGCCCCCCCCCCCCCCCCCCCCCCGACAAGCTCGGCTGCGCTCGCAGGGGTGCAGTTCTTCCCCCAACTCCCTCCGAGCCAGCATCCCATCGCATGCCTCGCAGTGGGGAAACTGAGGCAGGGACTGGGACTGCCGCTCCCCCCCGGCCCCGCGGCCCCGCTCACCACCGCTCCTCGACGCGGCCGTCCCGCCACGGCACCGCCAACACCGCCCCGAGACGGGGCCGGGCCATGCACACGCACACGCGTGGCCACGGCGTGTCTGGCACTGAGCACGCCAGGGCTGGCTCAGGGTGCATGGGGGGGGGGGGGTTGGAATCGCATGCTCCCCCTTGGGCTGCCTTTACTGGGGTTCAGGGATGGTGGTCAGGTAACGTTCATGTGTGTGCACGTATGTGCTTGGCACGCAGACATGTGCTGAGCGTGCACGTTCGTGCTGGGTGCCCACGCAGCTGCCCGGTGGTGCACACGCATGCTTAGCAGTGCATGCATGTGCTAGGAGCGCACGCACATGCCTGGCAGTGCTTGCGCAGCCTCAGGGTGCACGCATGTGCTCGGAGACAGGCGCACAGGCTTAACAGTGCACACGCATTGTGCCTGGTGGTGTGCATGCATGCGCAGCATGCACATGTGTGTTTCACATAGGCACACGTGTAGGCATGCATGGGCAAGGGTGTGTATGCATGTCTGCATACATGACTCATGTGTGTGTTTATGTTCATGCATTTTTTGCGTGTGCATGTGTACATACATGCGTGCATACATGTAGGTGCGCACACGTGCATGTGTGCATATATGCATTCCTGCATGTATGCAGGCATGTGTGTGTGCATCTGTGTGCAACCCCGACCCTTCCCACCCTCAGCCCCATTAGGCAGCTCGGGATCTGGGTGCAGGCAGGTTGGGTCAGCGGGTGCTGGTGCGCCCTGGGGTGCTGTGGGAGCTGAGGGGGACCCCGTTAAGCGATTATGGGCAAAACCCGCCTGAGCAGCGATAGGGAGCAGATGGGGGTACCAACGGTAGCAAAGGGGTTTCCACCGCCAGGTCGGGGGTCCCACAGCCCCACGGGACTGGGAAGGTGCCAGTGGGACGGAGAGGGACACACCCCGTGCAGGACTGTCCTGCGGCGGGTCCCGGGCGACCGGGAGGGTGCCCACAGTGGAGGCGGCGCTAGGACCCAGCGCGGCTCCGGGGCAGGGGGCGGGGCGAGGCCTCGGAGGCGGGGGCTGCAGAGAGGCCCTCGCGGTGGAGGCGGCGGCGTGTCCGCGGGTTCGAGTCTGGGTGCCCGCGGCAGGGAGGCGGCCATGGCGCGGCGGGCCGTGCTGTTCGACCTTGGCGGCGTGCTCTTCGGGCCCGGCCTGCAGCACTTCCTGGGCTCCTGCGAGCAGGACTGCGCCCTGCCCAGGTACGCCCTGGCCCGACCCGGCCTGACCCGGCCCGCTGGCAAGCGCCCGCCCGCGCTGCTGTGGGTCACCTCTCGTTCGGAGACACGTAAAGACGAGACAATACTGTGTGTGAGGCCGCCGCCCGCGCGGGGTCTGCACGACTGGGGCCCCCATAGAGGAGGACAGGGCTGGGTGTGGGGTGCAGGCAGGGGGGACCCCTGTCCTCGATATCAGATGCATGTTGGGGTTCCTGTGTATACATGGGGTGCAGGCTGAGGACCTCCTTTCTGGATCTGGGGTGCAGGCTGGGGTGAGGTCCTGTCCCGGATGTGGGGCACAGGTCAGCAGTTAAAACTAACTCCCAAAGAGGTGGAATCACCATAGGGGACGTTGGCAGAAACAATAAGATCGAGTAGTAATTAATTAAGCAGGATAGCTAATTAATCCCATCCCTGCCTTGGTGCTGAGACCTGACACAACTCGGTGCACGAGCTGGAGCAGACAAACCCCAGCACAACAGGTCCCAGACAGCCTCTCGAGTCCTAGTGAGCCCTTTGCTCCCATTAATATGGGCTGTTTGGGAGCTGGTAATCCCAAAAGCTCCCAATCAGTAGCTGAACAGGTTCTGTTGTGTGTCCCAGCTTGGCAGGGTGTCCTGGCAGCATGTGGGTGTTCAGACAGAAAAATACAGTATTAAGTAACTAAACGCTGGAGCTGATGGAACAATAAATTCCCGGATTATCGGCCATCAAACATCTTTTTGCTTCGCTTTATATAAAAAAATGAAAAAGAAAAGTGATAGCAATCCAGCTGGAACAGGTAAAGCTGCTTTATTTTTAACCGAGCTGTGTTGTTACCAACTCAGGGAGCTTTGTCCTAAAGGCAGTCGCTGTAATCTTGTTTTATTGCTGCCTGAGAAGGCCTTTTGTCATCTTGTGATAGGGGCAAATTGTTTTCCTTGAGTTACGGCTTACAAAATACCTTGCTCTTTGCATTATTTGCTATATTTTGTCCCTGGCGAAGCTCCCTGCTCGTCTATCTGCAGGGCCAAGTAATTGAGCTGCCAGCAGAAATAAATGGGCAGCGATCTCCCAGTCCTGTAATGAAGTGATGCTCTGGTCCTGGGGGATAATGGACGATGGAGCTCTGTATCCCCGGCACAGAGCATCCCCCTCCCCATAGCACACCACAGCATCCCCACAGCACTGGGGTTTCAACCACTGATTTCTTCTCCTTTGCCTGGCAGGAATTTCTTGCGGAAGGTCATGTTTGCTGGTGGCTCCGACAGTCCTTATGCCAAAATGTTGAGAGGACAGATCACCCTGTCCCAGGTGAGCCCTCGGGTACCAGCTGTGCGATATCACCAATGGCTCTGATGGGGAAGGAACCGAGGGGAGCTAGCTTCAGGATGGGCTGTGCTTTATATATTGGGATCAGTTGAATGACACTGTGAGTGTTTTTTCCAGCTCTTTTCCGAGATGGAAGAGGGCTGCAGGCAGCATGCCACCACCTCGGGCATCACCTTGCCAGACACCTTCTCTGTTGCCCGAGCCTTCGAGGAGATGGCAGCCAAGGGGACGGTCAATGCCCCCCTCCTGCAGGCAGCGAGGGTGCTGCGGAGGAATGGTAGGCGCTGGGGGGCTTTTGGACTGGATTAAGGGTGCTGCTTCCCTCCCAGGCAACTGCCTTGGGAATCCTGGTGGGTTCCACCACAGGGTCCTGGTTGGTCCCACCTGCTTGGTCCTTAATCATCATCCTCACACTCTCCTGATGTCGCCTTTCAGCATCCCTTAATTAAATACTAGGAGCCATGCTACCAAATCCATCAGACATGTTAGCACCTAGGCAGCAATTAGCAGGGTGCTGTAGCCCTTCATCACGCACTGTGGAGTTCATCAGGGAATCATAGAATCACAGAATAGTTTGGGTTGGAAGGGCCCTTAAAGCTCATCCAGCTCCAACCTCCCTGCCATGGGCAGGGACACCTTCCACTAGACCAGGTTGCTCCAAGCCCCATCCAACCTGGCCTTGAACGCTGCCAGGGATGGGGCAGCCACAGCTTCTCTGGGCAACCTGTGCCAGGGCCTCAGCACCCTCACATCAGCTCTGTCCTCAGCATCTCAGTGTGCCCAAGCTCCAGCTCACGTCCCACTTGCATTGGGAAGGTTGAGAGCTTTGCTTTCCTGGAAGTACAAATTGGGCATAAGCTCCTGCTGAGCATCCTTTGATCTGCTGCTGGTGTGTTCTGACCTGGCCAGAGCCTTGCAGACTGGACGTCTGGGATGAGGAGGTGGCTGGAGAGGAGAGGTGAAATCAAATACTGTCTGGAGAGCCAGAGTGGGAAAACCAGCACTCCCCTCTGTGCACCTCCCTAGGGTTTAAGACCTGTGTCCTCACCAACAACTGGGTGGACGACAGCGCCGGGCGGCTCTTCACAGCCAGGCTGATGAACCTGCTGCACCGGCACTTTGATCTGGTGATCGAGTCCTGCCGGCTCGGGATGCAGAAGCCAGATCCTGAGATCTACACATACGCCCTGGATGCACTGCAGGCGAAGCCACAGGAGGTATGACCACCTTGAGAACAGGTCACAGAGGGTCCCTCCATGCACCTGCGGTCCTTGGCCAAGCCCTTCTGCAGGGTGCTGATCCCTACTCTTGGTGGTTTATCTCCAGGTCATCCTTCTGGATGACATTGGGGAGAACTTGAAGCCGGCCCAGGAGATGGGCATGGCCACGCTACTCGTCAGGGACACCGAGACCGTCCTGAAGGAGCTGGAGGAGCTCTCAGGTGTCCAGGCATGTAGGGGTGGTCTCCGTTCCCTGCTCTCCTGGGGATCCTCTGGGAGGCATGGGCTTGGGCTTCTTCCCTGTGAGGGTGGTGAGGCACTGGAATGGGGTCCCCAGAGAAGCTGTGGCTGCCCCATCCCTGGCAGTGTTCAAGGCCAGGTTGGATGGGGCTTGGAGCAACCTGGTCGTGTGGAAGGTGTCCCTGCCTGTGGCAGGGGGTTGGAATTGGATGAGCTTTAAGGTTCCTTCCAACCCAAACCATTCTGTGTTTCTATGATGTCCCTGCACGCAGGTTGGTGGGGATGTCCCGTGGGGCTCCAGGCTTGCTCAGGAGCTCACCCTGTGCTCTTCACCCCACAGCTTCTCAACCAGCAAGAGCCATTACCAACAGCGTGTGATCCATCCAACATGACCCACGGATATGTACCCATCCGGGTAATGTGGAGGGGACTGCCTTGGTGACAATGGCTTGGAGGTGCCAGGCTTCCTGGGAAGGGTGTTGAGCCCCGTGCAAGGATGTGCCAGCCAACAGATGGCATACTGGATTGTCCCTCCTGTGTGGGCTGCTCTCGGCCAGGGATGCTGAGCTGCCCCATCGTTCAGGTCTTCTCTGTCCACCACAGAGGCTAAAGCATGGTTGTGTGGCTTTGGGAGGGG